TTAGGGTTTAGGGATTTAGGGATTGGGGGGTTTCAGGGTATAAGGTTTACGGGTTTAGGGTTTAGGGTTTAGGGGTTTAGGGTTTAGGGTTTAGGGTGTAAGCGCTTTAGAGTCCAGGGTTTAGGGTTCAGCGTGTCTACGGAATATAGCCTACGACTGCGCTCTCGGACCGGGCTTCTTTCTTCTCCAATGCCAGAACCCTCCGGGATTTCGCGTCCAGTTCTTTACCGCATGCAAGGCAGAGGTAGCATGAGAAAGCGCAGCCGGCCCCTGGCCAAATGAGAAGTGCGGTCCACCAGTATCCTTGCAGGACGTGCAGGGCCGTCATAGCCGCCAGAGAGATCACAGGAGCCCCACCAGCTTGACCATAATGTTGCTACGAGACACGTACCTTCCAAATTGGGATTCAGAACATGCACTTCTGACACCCATAGTCCCAGCGCAAGCGCTGAGGCAGCAACACAGGAACACAGCTATGCAGGCAGACACCGCGGCCTCATCAGCAATGCGAGGTGGGTCGACAGTGACTTCGACAGTGCAAAGAATCAAGAGGGACAACGGGAGCACGGCACAACATCCAATAATAATGACATGCCCCGATCAACCCTGTGAATCGTAGATGGTCGGAATCATGTCAACCATAATGAAGCCCTTTCCCTCGTGCCTTCTTGGTTGCTCCACCGCCCGGGGACGCACGCGTCACAGAGCCTTGGCTGCTTTCGAAACCCAAAAAGCAAATCCCAAAATTCGATAACTCGACCCGGAAACACGGACGCACTCCAGATGCTTTATTTTGATCAGCACATTTAATGACCGAAACACCGGCTGCCGATGTTAGAACACAAATCAGCACTTGCCAATGCTTCGATCAAGATCGGATCTGCGTCATGTGGCCCTTCGGCGCGCACCAGACTCGCAGCAACGCAGACAACATAGAATTAGGCCCGCTTGATTCCAATGCTCACAAGTAAGATATGGGAGTCTCGTAACGGAAAGTGCGTGCGAAGGACCGTCTTCGAAGACGATCCGTGGCGCATGGCCCTTCGGCATGCTCCATGGTGGCAGCTTCAAATCTCGCAGTGCAAGTCTCTTTGAGAACTCAGTGGTTTGGAGGACATGACAGGTGAGGGATCTTGGAAAGGCTAGCTCACAAGGCCATCGGAACAGGCTCTTTCCGCACTGATCGTGCCTTGTTTGGATCTAACTGGCTGATTTAAATCATTCCGGCCACTGTCTGCAATTCAAAAGTTAGCATCCGCCAAGACCGGTGGCCGAAGCCGCAACAAACAAACAAACAAGCAGAACTGTGTGGCACCAGGCACTTCGGCAACCTACGGTTTGCAGATTGCAAGGACCTGACTGAGCGCGGCAGGCTTCACCCGGTCTCGTCGAAAGCTTTAATCTCTACTCGAAAATGTTGCTATCGAAATTAAACACTAGCACTAGCTGTGTCGTCCTGCCGGTCGAGCAATTGGGGCTGCTGTTCGGCAGATGCTGGGACGTATCGCTCAACTCCCTCACCCGGAAGCCACGTGGAAACGTCCACCTCCCAGTACGCATAGCCCTTCTTTTGTAGCCAGGCGACCTCGGCTTTCTGGGAGTTGCCGAGGCCCTCTGAGGTGGCTAGATACTCGCGCTCTGTCTCCGAGAGGGAAGCGAGGAACAAACGTCGGGCTTCTCTGCTGTACTGGGAGGATCCGTCGCCACGCGGCTCCTTGGAGAGGTTGCCGAGACCTGCGTCCAGCGCCTGCTTGAACTCAGGAGACTCCTCGAAGTCCTTTTGTTTCTTATTCACCTTCTCCCTGCAGAGGTTGTCGTCACCTGCCGTGTCGAAGCTCTCCACCTTGCCTTTGCCGACGCGATTCTGGAAGTAATAGACTTCAAGCTCTGCTCCGGATGCCACTGCCGTTTCGATGTTCTCCCTCCATTTTGTAAACCATCTACAACCCCACGGCTTCTCCTCCCCGTAAAGTGGCGTGCACCAGCAGCTGCCGGGCGAGCCATAAGCCAAGGGGATGCTGTCGTGTGCTCCATAGTCGTCCGTGCCCTCCGGGAGGAAGACGACAGCCGCACTGACCTCGCCGTGTCGGCCCTGAGACACCAGGGATTCCCAGGCTCCCTCGTACTTGCCAGGCCAGCTGGCCACGCAGGGGCAGCCAGGTTCACTCAGGACGCTTCCTTCGAAGCGGATGCTCCGGTTGCTGACTTCGCAGTGGGCTTCCTCGCGCTCTCGTTCGAGGGTTTTCCTCTGCTTGTCGTCCATTTCGACGTCGACGAGGCAGCGAACACAGAACATTACGCCACCGCAAACGGCCACAGGCCACACGATAAAGGCCGTCCACCAGTAACCTTGCAGGGTGTGCCGGGCCGTCATGCCTGCGAACGACATTAAAGCGAGGAGGCTCACTAGCCGGACACCAACACCGAAGGCGATCTCATACTTTCCAAACATGAACCTTGCATCTGAATCTCCATTTCCTCCGAGAATCGAGGCCGTGCTGATGCAGCAGCACAGTGGCACGGTGGCACTGGCCAGCAGTGCGGCTGCAACAGCGCTTTCGGGTGGGACGGCAGAGCAAAGAACGAGGAGGATTAACGGGAGCCCAAGAAACAGAGTCCCGACAAAGACAGCGAGACCAAATCCGTCTGCGTTCCGTCTCTTGGCGGCGGCCTCCTGGATCATCGCCTCCGTCCGTTCCTGGGCCTCCTTGCGTCGCTCTGCTTCGCGGGCCAGCTCCCGGGCCTCGGCTCGGTCCCGGCCTTTGCACTGTTGGGAAAAGGCTCCGAAGTCCAGAGAGGCCCGCAATGAGGAGCCTCCCGCAACCTGGCAGCCGCCCGTCACCTCCGGGCTTTCTCGCAATCGAACTTCCAGCAAGGAGACCGACGCCTCCCCCGACACTTCGACGTCGAAGCACTTCTGGGGATACACGATCTGCCACTCCCCATTCTGAAGCTTAACTTCGAGAGGGGCTTGCAAATCGTTGGTCACGGACACTGCGGCCATGGCGTCACTTTGGAAAAATTCTCACGTTTGTGAGGGATGCTCGGGCTCCCAGAGAGCCCAAGACATACCCTCGATAATGCATACTGCATACTTATAAATTTATACATATATATACACATACAGAGACAAGAGAGAGAGAGAGAGAGACTTTGAAGTTCATCTGTGCTCACTGTGAAAGTACTGCCTGCCTATGGCTGTCTATTTTTAGTAACTCCGCAAGATAGCGGTACTAATGCGACCGCTGGGGACAGGAATGATGATGTTCCAATCATTGCGATTATGAGTGCGCTGATGCTTGCGGCGATGATGCTTTCAATACGACCATATCTCGAAACGGCTCCAAGCCAGCTAGTATGTCGGCTTAACCCCAAGACGCATATACAGAAAAAGCTCCATGCTTCCGAAGTGCACCGTCGCCTCCCTTCCGCTCCAGCGGGTTATTGGGACAAAGGGAGCAGGCGGTGGCCGCTGCCTTGTCGAAACCAGCAAGACAAGTAATTTCCCACAGAGCCCGATACCCTTCGAGGAACATGCATGAAGTCCTGTCTCTATCTATCTGTCTATCTATCTATCTACCTATCTGTGTTTGTTAAGTCCTATGAATACAAACATAAGTATATATATACATATATATACATATGTACACATACATACGTATGTGTATATGTGTATGTATATATATATATATATATTAATATATATATATATAATGCAGATACATCTAAAGTGGTGTGGTATTCCTTAGCTAAGGGCCAGTTAAGGGGTCGTGGGCTCCTTGCTTTGAGCTTTCTGGAGCAGGGTTCAAGATTCGGGGTGGAAGGACCCCGGGCTTCGGATGCTTAAAGTGCAGCGGTTTAGGGGTTTAGGGGTTTAGGGGTTTAGGGGTTTAGGGGGCTTAGGGGTTTAGGGTTTAGGGTTTAGGGTTTGGGTTTAGGGCATAGGGCTTCCGACAATCCTTCCCTTGATCACTCTAAAACCCCTGAAAACTCACAACCCAGTACGGTTGATATGAACCCTGCATTACCCATACGAAGGAATATACCATAATTCCCATAATGTAGGGTCCTTAATGTAATGCAGAATTTATAGCATCAACAGGTGCGAATCCCGAAGCTCCAAACCGCTGTCTTAATACGCACCCCTCAATCCGCAAGAAACCCTAGAACCCGAAACCCTACAGATCCTTCAAAGGGGCCTGACCCAAACCGCACCAAGAAAGAAGAAGAAGAAAAAAAAAAAAAAGGAGGCGCCTCGCTCCACTCCCCTGGAACACAGGGCCGGCAAACCGACGCGTCCACGGCGCCCAGGGCCGTGCCGACCCTCCCGGCCTTGGAAAAGCAATGAAGGTTCAGGGCCATGGCTTTAAGAATGAACGCGTTTAGGCTTAAGGTTTAAAGGTTAATTCGGGCTTTAGACTTCAGGCGCTCATGGTTTAGGGCTTAAGGCGTAGAGTTTGGGTTTTAGAGCTAAGGCATTTAGGATCTCGGGCTTAGGATTTCGAGGGTTTGGCGTTCAGGGACTGGGATGTTTAGCTCTTACCGTGGCGAAATCCTCTATGTCTATGACCATTGCTCAAATTGCGTGAGAAGAAAAGGTCAAGACTTATAAAAGAATCAGTGGAGTTTCCGGCAGAACGCAGAACCAAACTCCTGACGGAGCTGTAAGGCGATTTGAGGGCTTTGGGATTTAGGGCATTGGGGGGTTTCGGGTGCGTCTCGCAATTGCTTCTGTGGGGCTTATTAATGCTGCACAGCCGTTTCGAATGGCATGATGCAGGAGAGTGCACTGGAACAAAACATCGGTAATTGACATTTGTCAGAAAGACCCCTAAATCCTGAACCCTAAATTCCCAGACTCCAACACTCTAAACCCTAAACCCTAAACCCTCAACCCTGAACCCTAAACCCTAAACCCCTAAACCCTAAACTCCTAAACCCTAAACCCTAAACTTTAAACCCTTCAACCCTGAACCCCAGTGCCCGTAAACCAGAATCTCGGGTTTAGGGTTTAGCGGTTTAGGGTTTAGGGTTTAGGGTTTGGGGTTTGGGTTTAGGGCTTGAGGGCTGTAGCGGGATGCTAACTCTGCGGTACTCAGCGGTGTTGGGAATTATTGCTTGCACCGTGGACCCCGACTGCAACTACTCCTTGAAGGTCCGCGTGTGTTAGTAAGTGACAAATTTAAGTAGTATGCTCTTGTGACGTAGTAGGTTTAGCGAGTAAGACTGTTGATGGGCGGCTCTATAGGGGGATAATGGGCCTTATAAGTCAAACGAGCCACCAAGAAGCAGCATCCTAAATATTTTCTAAACATGCCGCCCTATGTGCCGCAATCGTTCTTGCTAAGTCCCGAAACATTTTGGACCCATAATACCGCGGACTTAACTAACCCCCCAAAATCCAAACCCTCAACCCCAAACCCTAAATCTCAACCTTCAAACCAAATAGGTTTGGTGCATGTTACAGTACAGTCTACATGGACAGCAAGGGTAGCCACAGCTTTAGAGGCTCATCACCAGGACCCTATACCATAAAATCCCTATACTGCCAAAAAAAACCTTCAAGGACCCTTGTAGTGCCATCAGAAACCTCTTTATTGTCTTTCAAGCAGGGTTTAGGGCTTAGGACTTACTTAACCCATAACTTGTAAACCCGAAAACCCGTAAACCCTGAAACCTTGAAGGACTCCTACCTAATGTAGGGGCCTTAAGAATTAGACTAGGGTTTTCGGGGTTCCTGATTATAACTATAATATGAAATACTCCAACCCCTATTCTAATCATGAAGGCCCCGATATTACCTGTCAAAGCCTGACGCCGGCCTCGCACCGTGCTCTCCCGACCACCGCCCGGCAGTGCACCTCTCGCAGACCTGTGCTTAGGTTTAAAGGTTTGGGGTTTAAGGCTTACTCCTGAGGGTTTAGAGCTTCAGGGTTTGGGGTTGAGGGAATGATCATCTCTTGTTTTGCCTTGAGTAAGGCTCATATTGCAGAATCCTTCAACTGAGAAATACTGCCTACAAATACAATCTACAGGAAATTCTTCGTCAGGGGTCCTTACCCGATTGAGACGGTTTGGAAATCCCGCACCCCCAACTCGCATCTCAAGAAAAAGCACTAGACATCTCAGCGCCTGAACAGCCCTGAAGACCGAGATAGCAAACCTCGTCATGATGTTGCGGAGAGCTGGGTTCTCCACTAGCCCCTTAGACATAGGGGTACCACAAAAAAAAACTAGTCGGTGAAAAAAGGGCACCCGCAAATAAAAGGACTCAGGGGTACTACTGGGAGGGCTAGATAACAACATGATCCCATCTGGTTTTGGAGTAGGTTCCTACGCGTGGCAGGGCTTGGCAGTTCCAGGCCTTTGGGTACCCCCTAAACCCTACAGCCTCGACACTAAACCTGTAATCCTGAACTCCCAATCAAACCCCCCAAAACAGCCAGCTGAGTACGGCTTTGGGGGTATCTTATCATACACTTCTAGAAGGGAACCCCTAAACCCCGAAACCCTAAACCCAAGAGTACCTTGTAGACAACATTAACAAACTTTGTAATAGACTATGACAGGGAATCCTGACGGATCAGATTTAGGGCTTAGGGTCTAGGGTTCAGGGTATAACGGGGAACCCTAGTGGATCATGTTGGTCATTCTGAGATTCTAGAAAACCCTTGTAACAAACCTGCTGCAAACCCCTAAAACCCCTAAAACCCCTAAAACCCCAAAACCCCTAAACCGCAAAACCCCAAAACCCAAAACCCCTAAAACCCCTAAAACCCCAAAACCCCTAAACCCTTAACCACAAAACCCCAAAACCCCTACACCCTAAAACCCCTTAAACCCTACCAGTAAACCCTAAACCTGAGCTCAAGGCCTCAGCATCGGTGGCCCCGACCGCGGTGGAGAAGCGTCCCACGGTGAAAGGAAGGTGTGGGTGGGGTTCAGGGCTTAGGCTTTAGGGTTTCGGAGTTTCGGGCTTTAGGGTTTGGGGTTTGGGGTTTAGGGTTTAGGAGTTTAGGGTTGAGGCTTTAGGTTTGGGGTTTCGGGTTTAGGAGTTTAGGATTCAAACAGGCTTTAGGGTTTAAGGCTTTTTTTGGGGGGTTAATGTTCAAAGGCTGTGAGGCTTTGTGCTTTCGGGGTTAGATCTGCGAGTCCAAGAGGTGTTCTACAGGATCTCGAGAGAATTCTATACGGAGTGTATACTGTGGTTGATGATATAGATCCTGCATTACCCAGAAGGATTAGGGTTTAGGGTTTAGGGTTTAGGGCTTAGGGTTCAGGGCTTGGGGAT